GACGCCACGGAAACACCTGCAGCTAGCACGCGAGACGCTCGAGCTCGGCGCTATCATCTCGATCCGCCTCAAAGACACCGAGTCCTTTACCCGCTACTTCCAGCAGCTGCAGCCCTTTTACGCCCTCCCGGAGTCTACACTACCCAAGGAAGGCAGCAATTCCAGCAAAGTCACGGGCTTGTACCTGTTGCTGCTGCTGAGTGAGGGCGACTACGCGGGGTTCCACACGCTGCTTGAGACGCTCGAGGTGGCGGCTGCACAGGCGGGCTCGAAGCTCGAGGCTGACCAGTTTATCCAGTACCCTGTGAGGCTGGAGCAGGCGCTTATGGAGGGTAGCTATGATAAGGTGTGGGTTGAGACAAAGAGCGAGAGGGTGCCTGGCGAGGAGTTTGGGCTGTTCACAGAGGTACGTCATCCCCCCTCCACCGGATTTTGCCCGCTGAGGCATAAGGGAGGGTTTGAAGAAGACAGGAAGAACTTGATTGATTAACACTCGTTTTTTGTTTTAGATTCTCATCGGGACCATACGCAAGGAAATCGCCTCGTGCAGCGAACGCGCATACCCCTCCATCCCCATTTCCGACGCCAAATCTCTCCTCTTCCTCGACTCAGAAGGCAGCGTTGTCAACTTTGCAAAGGAATCAGGATGGGTGGTCAAGGATGGACGGATATACTTTCCTCAGCAGGAGGATGACTACATGAGCAAGGACATTCTCGTCACGAGTGATCAGGTTATTGAGAACACGCTGGGTTATGCGCGGGAGTTGGAGACGATTGTTTAAGGGAGTTTGGGGGAGGACTCTCTTCTTGGTTTTTCTCCCGTAAGCCAGAGTAGAGTTGCACAAGTGCAGATTAGTGTACGATATATGCATCAAGACACAATTGGATGGTCTGCGCGCATGATGGATATGCGGCAGTGAGGAGAGTGTTATTCTCGATGATAAAGACAAAAGAGACAAGCAATGATTATGACTTTTCCTTGTTCAGTCTTTTCTTTTTCTCCTCTAACAAACAGGTTGAGCCTGTACATGGTAGATGGCAAACTCACATGCTTGAACACTACTTGCAGGGACATAGGCTCACTAAAGCACAGACAGTGCATTTAATAGTCTGAGGGGAGATATGGGAAGGGCACGGAACAAGAAAATATGTACAGACGTATTCAACCTGGGTTCCAAAGACCCAAACTAATCAACTAGGTAGGTCCAAGTACTCCAATTCCCTCCACTTCCAATCTAATAAATCCCAGCCACAACCCCACCCAACCCAACAGCCCGAGAATATAGGCAAAGAAAAAGAAAAGAAAAGACACAAGCGAACCATGGAAAAATGCGCAAGATAATGAATCCCATCAAAAAAACAGTCAAAGAAAAAAAACTCCCGCTGGTGTACGATTTGGTATAATCCTTAATACCGACCCAAACAATCGCTATAACTAGAAAGCTCAAAAACACACACACAGAGAAGACCAAAGATGAGGACATATATAGGAAGAAAAGAAAAGAAAAGAAAAGCAAAAAAGAACAAGGAAAAAGGTGGAAAAAAATGCCGGATCGGGGTATCCCAAGGAATATTCGAGGCCAACACAGGTTTGCAGCAACTCAGAATTGTAACAAAGGTAGATAGATGATCGAATTCTCGAACAGGGACCGAACGAAGAGACATAGGGACCCATATTGGCTAATTTGGAAAGAAACCCGAAAAAAAAGAATCGAACAAGAGAGATGCAGTGGTTACAGATAAATGCTATAGGAGCAAGACCGTGAATTTCTCATGTCATGTAAGATTTGAGCGTTTCAATCATGAAGAAAGATAGAGAGAGAGAGAGAGAGAGAGATTCGTCATGTTATCTTTTGCTTTTGCGTTTGGTCGTTTAACATCGTAAGCGTTATCTGGTGGGAGATCATCATCATCATCATCATCATCATCATGATGGCGACGTGTCTTGGCCTTGGAAAATGGTTTGGGTGGATGTAGATGTCTGTGAGGTGACGATATCAACTAGAGGGAAAAGAGAATGGTGAATTTGCCGAAACCAATCTACGGTAAACTTTCAGTGTCGGTGCTCCACGGCTTGCTGTTCCCCTGTAGCCACGGCAACGAGCGCTTCCAGTCGTCTCATGTCGTTGTTGCTGTTATTGTTATTGTTGTTCGGCTGGGCGGGCGATGGACCGAACGTCACGGGTCCCCGCTCGGAAGGCTCACGCTGTGGATGATAGCCTGAGCTAGAACTCGAGAGACTATGGCTATGGTAGTGCTGATGTGGCTGTGCGTGTAAAGGATGGGGCCTTTCCATGATGGACGTCGCGGGCGTGGGCTTGTGATCTTCAACAACAACTGGCGCCTCCACGTACCCGTTGCTATGCACAATAGCGGGGTGGTAGTCGATCATGGTCCCTGGTGTCGGCACTCCCTCACTACTGCTAGAATCCTCAGGTGATGTGCGCTGCATTGCCCGCTGTGGTTGACTCATAGGCCCATTGTACCAGCCTTGTCGTTTGCTCTTTCGTGGAGTCTCAGGCTGCTCCTGGGACGTCCGTGGTGATGAGTTTATTGATGGGATCTGGATAGACTGAAGGTTAGCCGGCTGTCGACTGAAGTAACCGTGCGGGGCTGTCGTTGGTCTTGCGGTGCTTGTCCGGCCTGCACTGCCAGGATACTGTTGCGACCATTGCTCTCTTTGCGAACCCGGGCCGGCGATGTTCAGTCGATCGATCTCCCATGAAATGCTTGTTCGCTTGTGATGGCCCCGATTTGGCGGGGGTTCCCTTGGTGCATGGTATGTCAATGGGCGGCCAGGAGCGTCCACCTGCATCGGACTTGGCTGACGTCGAGGTAATGTTGGCGGAGGCGGAGCATGATCAAAGCTCTCAATGCCCGGGAGTCTGGTAGTCTGTGAGGCAGCAGGCTGCGAGGTGTACAATGGTCGTGGAGCATCAGGTGTTTGGTGATAGCCCAATCCACTCGTCGCTGGCCGAGGGCCAGAATAGGTTCCCGGGTGCCAAGTTCGCCGCCTCCAGTCTGCATCGGCGTTAGAGTCGCCTTTGGACTCGGAGAAGTTGGAGACGGTAGGACTAGCGTATGCGCTGCTTTGTATGGAGTATGTAGGAGGGGCTGTTGATTGCAGAGGTGTAATGTAGGTGGGAGGGCCTTGTCCAGGAGGGCCAGCGAAGGGGTTTGGGTTTGCATTGGACGAAACAGACTGTCGACGTCCTGGTGGCGGTGGTCCAGCCCAGGATACTGGTCTTGAAGTGCTTGTAGCAGGAGATTGCATAGTTGATCCAAAGTGAGCAGGGCTACCAGTGGCTGCGGAGAAGGTAGCAGATGTAGGCGTTGTAGGTGCATTAGAGGGCGTGTCATATTCAACAGGCCCAGGACTGCCCATCATAGGCGGATCATATGCACTTGCCGTGTTGAGCGACAGGCGTGCTCTGGCACTCGCACCACCATCACTAGCCATTGCGAGAGGTGGGGGTCTGCGGCGGATATCTGGTGATTGGGCTACGCTCACACTTGACATGGTGGATGTGATGCTGGAAGCTGACAAATTCCTGCTGTGGCCACGGCTGTGTCCGCCTGTGCTGCCCAGTGTATTTGCACGGGAGCGGTTCCCAGGTGGGCGTACGCGGTCAGTTCGTATTTGGCGTTGAAACCTTGTGCCTGTAGCGGCGAGGGATTCGGACGGTATGTCTTCATTTACATGGACAGTTTGTGCATGCTGCCGCAGGTTGTCAAGACGAGAGAAGCGTCTGGAGCAATGGCACTGGAAGGGTCGTTCACCCGTATGTTTACTGGGGGGCACGTTAGGAAAGTAGAATAAGTCGAACAGCAGAGCACGTACCGAATGTGCCGTGCCAAATGTTCGCTCCGGGTGAAGCTCAAGTTGCAGGGCGGGAAGTCTGTGCAGAAGAAGCGCTGTCCCTTCTTCTTCTTGGACGGCCGGTTTGAGTCGCTTGTGACGCTCTCATTGTCGGATCCGTCTTTGTCATCGTCGCCGTCGCCCATCTGTACGTCTTGTGTGGCTTTCTGTGCTTCCTCTCTACTCTGCTCGCTCTTGTTCGAAGCTGACGGTGTTTCGCTCAATTCGCGGGCGGGGGTAAAGGGAGACGATGGCAGTGGGCGCTGGCCAGCAAGTCCTGCAAATGTATTGCGTGTGGGTGTCTTTGCGGCCGGATCTTCTGCCCGAACATCTTCCGCGGGCTTTGGCTCTGCAAAGAATCTGTTGTTTGGGCGGGGTGTTGTGGGAGTTGTCTCGTCGCCTGGACGGCCTTGTGGCGGCTCCGGGACCGGCAGGGTAGTGTTGACTGCTTGAAAGCTAGACATGGTGGAGAAGATGGCGGCTTAGCAGCCTGGACTATCCTCCTCTTGTCGCGTGCGGTGCAATGTGCGGTGCGCACGTCTACAGGAACGGGGCGCGTGTTACGTCGCGATGTGCACAATGAGAAGACGCTTACCACGGGCGCAGGCGATGGGGGACAGAGTGCAAGGTTAACGTAAGCGCAGAAGGCAGGACGCAGGCAGGACGCTTTGAGCGGCGCGATCAGAGGAACAGTGCCGGGCGTTCCTGAAGCGGGCGGCAGAAGGCTGAAACGGGATGATGACGAATGAAGAGCGGCGTTGCAACAACATCCGGGCGCTGCCTCCAGCGAGCGAAGACAGAGGAACGGGGGTGCACAAGTGTGGTTAACAGGATGTAGTGGGTCGCGGCGTGGATTTGTTATGGACGGGTCGTGGGTGAACGGACCAGGCGTGTGGTGGAGAGGTTGAGCAAGCACGGATGCTCGGAGTTTGGGTGGGTGGTGAGTGTGATAAGGCGCGTGGTCGGATGCCTCAGGTGGCGGGGAGGGTACAGCTAGCAGCCCCTCGTCGACGGGGTCCGGGTCGCAGCGCACACACAGGCACACACACACACACGGGAGCCGCAGAAGACGGACAGACAGCAAGAGGAAGGGCTGGGAGTGGGGATGGATGAGCAGGCGCAGCAGAATGGTGGGGGGGGGGATGCAGGAGAGCGGGATTCGAGACAAAGTCACGATTGCGTCGCGGCTAGATGCGAGGAGGGGTTGGCTGGGAAGGCGGTAGTAATAGCAAGTAGTAGGCAAGTAAGGTAGGTAGCAGCAAGAGCGAGTATGATGGAGAGTAAGGCACAGGACGGACGGCATCTTAGCGGCCTGGCACCAGCACCAGGACCAGCACCAGGACCAGCACCAGCACCTGGGCTGGGGTTTACAGCAATTAGTGAGCCAGCGGCGACAAGGGCCATCTGGTCTGCAGATCCCTGAGCCCGCCTATGGCATGCAACCCGTCCAGGCCCCCGTCGTGTCCGCCCGTCAGACTTGCAGCCCGCAGTCATACTACGCTCACTCTAGTGTAGACGACGAGCAGGCAGAGTAAGCCAGGCGTGCGAACAAGTGCTGCACATCCGACTCCGACTCTGCACGCCTCGACACGCCCTTTCACGTGTCATGTCTGCACCTCTGTTTAGCTAGATATGGCCCGTTGGCTGGCCACGCTGCACCAGCGCCCTCTGTCGGTCCCAGCAGGCCATGGTGAGCTGCCCGTGCGGCGGCGAAGCAGTTGCAGTTGGCTTCGACGTGCATGCGAGGCTGATGCAAGGGGGGACTCGAGAGCAGATCCACACAAAAAGTGTTGTACCTTTGTACCTTGCCGAAGCGAACGACTAGCATCCGTCGCTCTGCCGGACTTGAGCGACTCGCGATCACTGACTGGCCGTGTCGGCTCGTACCACAGTGACCCGACGCCCGGTGCCCGTCGTAGTTGTGGTAGTCGTGGTCATGGCTGCTGCTGCTTCTACTGTTACCACTGCTGCTACTGCTGCTACTGCTGCTACTGCTGCTACTGCTGCTACTGCTGCTACTGCTGCTGGCCAAAGACAGGCGGGTAAGGCGGCCTCGTCACCTCATGAGCCTGGCTGTCGAGGCGGTGGGCGATGGATGCTCTGTCGACGCCTTTTGCAGCATGCTGACAGGGCTAAGGACCAAGACCCCAACTGGCTCGGCCACTGGCTCGTAACTCTACCCTACCCTACCCTACCTTACCCTAACACTGCGGACGTACGCGGGACGATTCCTTTAGATCGAAAGGGCCATGGTCATCTGCGCCTCTTCACCACCGTCTGTACCATACTTTTTTTTCTTCCCCTCTTGCCCTCTTGCCTCTAACTCCCCCGCCTCCCCTGCCACACTCGACCGAGCCACCAGACTTACAGGCCCCGAATCCTATGCAAACCCCATGCCCAGTATTGCTATTGACACGTTGCCAATTCCATTGCCACTTGCACATGGGCGACATGTTCTATATACAAGTATATACTATACATGTGTGTGTGAGTGTGTGTGAGTGTGTGCATGTGTGTATGTGTACACACATACTACTTACGTATGCAGGCCGGGCAAAGTGCCTGTAGGCGTAAGCAAGTCATACTCTGGTCCTGCAGCACAATCTCGACTCGCGTGGCGCGCATTTGTCGTCGAAAACGATGATAGTCCTTGTGCGCCGGTAGGGACTCGCCTGGATGCGTGAAACAGGCCAAGCCAGCTGGCGCCAGCGGCGGTGGCATGGTGCATGGCCCACGCTTGGTGTTGAGGGGCAATCCTCGCACGCGCCATTACTCGCTAGTCTACCCACTCCACCTTCCCTCTCCCACCCACTACCCCGCCATGTGACGCAACCCATCACCCTCCGTCCCTGCCTGCACTACGCCTACCCTTACGCTACATTACACTACTCTACACTACACAGGCACACGCCGTACAAAGTAATAAAAAAACTAATCGCCTTGCACACTCGACTTCTAACGCATTTCTGGCTTCCAAATCATCCACGCCACTTGCTCTTTTGCCTCCGCTCCCCCAAAATGCCCCACGGCAAAGCACATGCATCATCCTTGGCCAAGCTGCTATCACACTGCTTTATTCTTCAACTCATACACTCGTTGCCTATCTCCTTTCTATCACACCCCAACTCCACCATGCCAACCCCCTTCCTTTCACTTCACCATACAATACAAGAGCGTACAACTAACCCATAAGTGCTTACTGCACAACCTAAGCAAAAAAATACGTTAGCACAGTCCTTGCATACAACATACACAAATGCACACAATCATTGTCCTACCTTTTCTCGGAGCTTGCTTATCCATTGAACAAGACTCTCGCCCTGGTCGGCTCGGTCTTCCACAAGCAATGTTTGCGCCCACAGCTTCAGGCTTGGCTCTCCATCCTCCTTGACAATGTAGAGCGTAGGCAGTGTAATAGACCCTACGCCCTTGGACTTGTGGTCTCTCGACTTCTCCACCACTACTTCACGTTAGAACATGCCATCTCCAATCTCTTTCCCGCAAAACCCTGACTTACCAGCTCGCACTCGCTCAGAATATTCATTGTCAAGAATAGGCAGTGATGCCTTGCCTTGCTTCAACTGTGTACGGTCTTCAACACCAAACACATCCGCCAACAGTGCCGGGACAGCATCGCGTCCAATCCACCTACTCACGTTAGCTCTTCTGCTCTATTTTCACACCAGCAAACCACCTACAGGAACTGGTTAACTCCATCATCGATGAGGTATAGACCATACGACACAATCAATCCGCTCGACAGATTCAACTGAGGTGGCATCGTAATCTGTCCAGTCGTAGGCTCGGGCACACCAGCATCATCGGGCATATCCTAAATCATGTTAGCCGAATGGCTTACTACTTGGTCTTGGACAAAGCCTTACGTGCAGAGAGTAGAAACTCGGGTAAATGTACTGCACAAGCAGGCGCAGAGGTAAAGTCGACAAGAGATCCAGCGCTGCTGACCGGAGATCACTTGGGATTTGCGCACTCTTGCGAAGACCAACGTTTTTGATCAGACCTAGAAACAGGATAGGAAGAGCGCGGAGGTTCTGGGGCAATTGAAGACCACCACCGCCCATGCTGCCTCCTGCCAGCTCTTTCCTGTACGTTGACAGAATCTCAATCATCTTTGCCTGCAGTGCATCTCGTGCCGCATCCAGACCACTCGACAGCGCTCGCTCAACCGCCTTGTGGCTGAAATACGTCGTGATTGCCTGCGCATCTGCCGACGCGTACACCGTCGCCAGATTCTCCGTCGTCGGTACCGCAAGCGTCAAAACTCGAATGCGCCGCTGGCCACTCGAAGTGGTATGCAGCACCGCTGCCTGGAGACAGGCAAATGGCCGTGAAATTGTTTCATCAATCGCAACTTCAATCACCACAGCCTGGTCTCTCGGGTAGGCTGGGAAAGCACATAGATCCGAAGAGCGGTTGAAGAAGTTTCCATAAAAGGCGGACATCCTCAATCCAGTCGTAGCACGCACACGGAGCACAGCCTCAAGACCAATCTCGGCAGATAGGTAGTCAGCAAGCTCCGTCGCAATCTTGACCACATCTTCTTGTCTTGCCGCATTCCATCCAGGGTAAAAGTACGTCTGACCTGCCGTAAATCGAGGAAGGTTGCTGAGCGTAGCAACATCCTGATACGCCGATGAAAAGAGGAACATATCCACCGATACTTGATTCTTTGAGCATTCTACGGCAAAGGACTTGTACCAGTTGTTGGCTGGCTGTAGGAGGCTGCCTTCCTTACCCGTGCCCAACAGCGACTTGTCTTCTCGTGGGCTCAGAGCAGCATGGCCAACATTGGGCAAAGATGCGGCAATGACAGTAAGCTTTCCTCCAAGCGGGGAGATGAGCTTGTGCGCCGATCGGAGAGCTGATCCTAGAGCGAACCCAGGAACGTGTGTGTTCTGGAACATGGCAGGAAGACGGTCCAGGAAAGTTTCAATGTTGTTGCGACACTGGCTAAGGCTCACAAGCAGATCAGAAGGCATGGGTAGGTAGGGCTCGTCAAGATCTGAGACAACCAACTGCTGCGGCTCATTGGACTCGCTGTTGTCGGGAGGAATTCCGAAAAAGTGCAGGCCATTATCAACTGCCATGAAGCCGATGCGTGTTCTACCATCGGCATTGGGTATCCGGCCAAGAGCCTCCTTGATTACTCTCGAGACGACTGCAAGAAGACCGTTGTTGACTGCAGCCTGGGTACAGTCCAAAATGATGTAGTAACACAATGGCTGGGGCGGGCGAACCATGTATTCCTGTGGCGCAACAAATTCCGTGACGGCATAGTTCAGCTCGGGTCGCTGCCATCGATCCACGCTCTTCTGCTGCGCTGCATCCCAGTCGAATGCCTGTGGAACATCATTTGTCAGGTTACACATGTTGCACCTCCACCTATGGCCATGGTCTAAGAAGGAAACAAATGGGTTGATGTAGGCGCGGCATCGTCGACAACGGCTGATGATTTGGTCCTGCACTACGGGTATCGGATCTTCAGAATCGTGTAGACTAGCGTACGGGCTTATGACTAAAGCAAAGGGTAGTTTGCTCTTCTTGAGTAGGTTGTGGTTTGTGGGAATAGTGTTGAGCGTACACCGCACATACTTGCTCGATTCGTTCGCAAACTCGGAGGGGGTAGCCGCAGCGTTGGCTGGTAGGTTGATCGGTGGAGGAGGGTTATACAGTTCTGAGACGTGGAAGGGCTGGGCAATGAGATCCGAGGGAAACAGTTGATTCTGCTGAGTAGCCGCTGTGGGTTGCTGGGCTTGAGGGGCTACCTGTCCTGGGCCTAAGTTCATCTGTCCGAACTGCTGATTGAGGGCATTTGGGTCTTGAGGCGCAGGCTGTCCATATGGTGCAGGCGCTCCATATCCAGGAGACGGTGCACCATATCCGGGCGCAGCAGCAGGAGCACCATATCCTGGTGATGGTGCCCCGTACATGGGCGCGGGCGCACCATAGCCTGGTGCTACTGGAGGGGGGGCTGCGGCTGCGGCCTCTTGTGTATTCGCACCGAATTGGTATCCCGTTCCTGCTGCATAGCGGTCTCTCTTCTTGCGGTCCGCCATATCGAACGTCAGCGGGAGTTTGAAATCGGAAGAGGTGCGGGTTGGGGCTGGAAGAATGGCAGGACTGGCGGACTTGGGCGTGAATTTAGAGGTGAGGTTATAGCTCGATGTGTCTTCTTGGGGAACGGCACATTCCGCGCTAAGGGACCCCCACCAAAATGTGCACAGACCCATGTATACCACGATATACTAGGTGGGACGAAGTGTGGAACACTCTTATCTTAACCGTCAGGCATACACTTAACCAAACTTTTTTTTGCTACTTTGAGACACCCTTACATCATCCCAGGCAACACAGATCTTACTTTTAAATACGTGTCGACACGAGAACGCATTTAACGACAATGGTAGGAGACACATTTGACTAAAACATCAGATCGTTATTACTCATTAAAACATTAAGACGTTCGCGCACAGCTGTCCTCCATGATTAAGCCACGTTAGCAACCTCTTGTCTAGGGGTCTGCTGATGCTGAGCGCTGAACCTGTCTGCTTCTTCCAGCGGATAAGCAGCCGATCCAGCTTTGTCGTACTGCACACCAACTGGACTCTCGCTCCTCACTGTACCCTCATTGGTAGCAGACTCTGGAACAAAGGCTCCCGCCGCCGTAGTGCCTGGCATCGCATTGGTTCCGAGGTTGCCTGCATTCGAGTGGATGGGTTCAATCTCTAACTGGTAGCGGCGGAGATCGTCCTCAGCATCGTTGAGAACCTGACGCGCTGTTTCTCCTTCGGCAAATGCGGGATGTGCGTCTCCTGGCACTATTGGAGTATCATCGACCAAGTTCAAGAGACGACGAGCGTGCTTCGCCAAGATTATCTGCTTCTCTGCCCGCTCAATGGTGGCTGCAAAGTGGAGGTCATAAGCCTCCTTGAACTTTTGACGGGTCTGGAAGAGTCAGCATGAGGTATTTATTGCAACGAAATCGCCATACAATATTGTTGAGCTGCGCTTCGGCCACCAAACTCTGGGCCTCTGCGCGGACAAGCTCCTGTTCGAGCTGAACTATTTTGGTACTCTGTGGTTCCTTGTACTTCAGCTTTGCGATTTCATCAGACACCTAGAAAGTTGATTAGAACATTATGCGCCGACGAGAACGCTAGAACATGCCTTGGCCTTGTGGTCTCGGCTGGGCTGCACTGAACTCTCGGTATTGCGGATCTGCTTGAGGATACTGCGGTAATCCTCCAACGATTGCGCGAAGACATCCTCCTGCTCCCCAATTTCCGCAAGCAAGACTCCGAGTTTGTCGGAAATATCCGAAATATTCTCGTCCCCCGTAGCCTCACCCCATTCAGACAGCTGCTGAGCGATACTGATTCGTTCGCGCCCAGCAGCTTCGTGGGCCGCAATGGCATGATTTTCTGTCTTGATGATTTTGAACAACTTCTTCGAAAGCTCTGGCTGTTGCGTGCCCCGGAGAGATGCCATGGTAAAGCGGTGCTTGGGGGCAGATTTCTCTCCGCTGCCGCTACCCTTCTTGGAGCGTACTGAGAGCGATCGATTCCTAAACAGGGTATGGTGATTAGCCACGGCTGTAAGACACGAGATTAAGAAGGCAACAAGGGTTGATTGTTGGCATGCAGTTCTGCTGAAACTTTGCCCTTGGCAAGGCACTCTCTTGCATAACAGATTCCGAGGAGCAATCAGTGGCAGATGCTCTATTTTTGGAATTGCAGAGATGTAATGCGAAATGAAGCCAAGAGGCCAGACTTACATGATGCCAGAGTTTCACTAAACAACAGGTAGATAGCGTGACGTATAGAGTTATCTTCTGGATACGTTGAAACTGCTAGGTTGTGCTGACGCGCAAGTAAATAGGCAAGTTGCCCAAGCAGGCTTGGCCGGGAACAGAATAAAGTGCGGTGTAGTACTGCGGCGCAATAGCTTGTACGGGGCGTCCAGGGCAGGTTGAGATGCGAGGATACTGCAATGGGCGTGCTGGTGGGGAGTGAATTACTGCATAAGCTTGGGTCTGGCGGGGGTGATTGGGGAAGTCGCGCCAGACACGGTGATGTCATAGTCGTGTCAAGCGGAAGGCGCGCAGGTTACACGCACAGCCCGTCGCCGCTTCCTTTGGGTGCCGACTGATCCGCCTCTGGTGGCTATAGGTCGCAGGCTATGGGCGGCAAGAAATATCTGTCTTGGACTTTCTGATAACACTGCAGGCATAAACTGGAACGTCTTGTTTGCCGTCTATCCATCCGCCATGCCGTCCGCGGAGGCGCGCAGCAAAGTTTGGTGCGCAAAACACATAAGTACATGCATACACACATACTCACATGGCCGGACATCCAGGTGCAAGCAAGCAGCAGGACGAGAAGCACACGGCAGTTGATGTGAAGAGCTGTAAAGCAAAGTCGAGAGCACTGACGACCATGGCGCCATAATATGAACGGCTATCCTGGTCACGTCGCGGGTGCCGCTCCAAGTGCCGGTCTTACTTCAGTGACAGCACAGTCTATTTGCAACCGTGAATTCTGGGGTAGTCCAGACCCTGCGTACGGTCAAAGGCGGCAATTGCGTAATTCATAATCTCGGTCGCAATCCAGCGGAGGACCAGTAAAATGGTGCGTGTTTCTGCTATGTAAGTACTTAGTACATACGCTGGAGCCATGAGTCGAGATACGAACATGTAAGGTATCAGGTAGACTGCTCTTGCCGGCGGACAATATACACAGGACAAACGCCCCCCATAGAACCTAGTACGCACTGTTATGCAAATTGTGAGGCCGCTGCTGTTGCTCCCGCTGCTGGTGCTCCTTCGCGTCACCTGATGTTGAACGGTCCGATCCATACCAGGTACAGGACAACTGCAGCCACAACCCCGAGCCGGTGTTTCTTTAAACGGGCCAATCGCTTCACTTTCTGCGTTCCCGCAAGCGCCCTTGCCGTTCGCGTCCAGGGGGGCCAGGGGGAGGGCATAAAACTACGCCATTTGCTACATAAATTCCGCTCGTAACTTGGTGTACTCTTACCACGGCAGCCTAAACGAGTAGGTGTTAACAGAACGACTAAGGCCTTTGTGTTTACCGAGCACTGTGCCGCGTCCACAAGCGGAAACCCAACATGCATGCAAACAATCCTGGCCCACCAATGAACGGAGTGGAGCGCACCCGTCACTATGAACGCCAAGTCCAACCTACGTGCGGCAAGGCTGTATGCTGCGGCCCTGATTTCGGCCGCATATTCATCTATACCACGCCATACGACACTTGCCCATATGTGCGGACCGCTCGTACCCATAATTCCGGCGTACAGGCTCATTTTTCCTGGTCTCTTCTCCAGGGCCTCCATTTGTTTCGAGGCATCAATGGCGGTAAGGAACATTCTGTACATTGCCAATACATGCCCATCCCAGTCGATGAGATGACCAGGATCAACACGTCCCTCGTCTATATGCAAAACCATGCCGCTCTTGAAGCGCCTGGCCCTAGGCCTTTGGTAAGCAGCGGTACTTTTTTTTCTGCAATCTGGATGCGGTACATGGATGGATATTCCACATGCCGATGTCTCAACCGAGCCGGCGGCCGCGTCATGCAATCAAGACGTCTCAATTTCAATCAGCAATATTGCGCTTCGCCAAATCGCTCATCGTATGTATGTGAACTGCAAGATTTGGCCACCGTTAGAATTGTGCAGTACTGCAATGCCCCCCCCCGCTGAGGCTTCTTGAACGCATCTCTTTTTAGTAAACTTTGTAAGCCAGGATCCAGTTCCACTATTTGCTTGGCCTCGAGGCACGGTGACATGATCAGCACACACCCCTTGGCATTGCAACTGCTTTCATATCACGCTGCGCTGATTCGATGTTTCCGTCCATAGGCGCGGGGCCTCCAGCGGTATGTTGAGCAAAAAAGGAAATATCCCAGTGTGCGTGTTGTGAAAGGTCTCCGCATGCGTGGCAAGCACAGTGTACATGCAGAAAAAAAAACGTTATCTCTCCTAGACCCAGGGATCATCAACTATCGCCATCTCTCTTGCTAGTTTCACGGCCGCCCCTATGCCTAATTAAGGTAACAGATGCGTGTCAGTTACAAACTTACACACATGCAGCATAAACTCAGTCCACTCAGAGGTCCGGCAATGCTAATCCTTACCTCAGACCTATTGTAAGTACACGTCCTACCAGTAGTAAACCTATCCACCAGCTCGGGATCTGCTAGCACCCACATTCAGCTGGGGAAATTACCATCACGTTATTCGGTCATTCAGGACTGTCAGTTGCCAGGATCTAAACTAGCACGACGTTGAAGCACGGGTTAACCGTCGGATGCTTTTTAGCTGGCGATGAAATCCCGTAGGCGGTATAAAAGGACAACGCCATCTTCTCTTCCAGGCCATCTCACGTCGCCTCAAGCAGCTTTCAAGATGGTACGGTCTAACGTTTTGACAGCAATTGCTGCTATTTGCCATGTCGCTCACGCTGGTTGCCCCTACATGGATGACCAACCAATCGCCCGACGCGATGGTGCCACTGCCATGTCAACCGATGACTTCATGAAGCAATATGAGATTGACGACAGCAAAGCCTACCTCACGAGTCCTGTGGGAGGGCCCCAACCCGACCAAGAGAGCCTCTCGGCTGGTGAGCGAGGTCCATCCCTGCTCGAGGATCAAATTCTCCGCCGCAAAATCATGAGCTTTGGTAAGAGCAATACAAATCCCCGCATCTGACGATTTACTAACCGAGACGTTTAGATCACGAGCGTGTTCCTGAGCGCGCCGTGCACGCCCGTGGTGCCGGTGCTCACGGAACATTCAAGTCATATGGTGACTGGTCTAACATTACCGGAGCCTCATTCCTTGCCAATTCTGAGAAGGAAACGCCAGTGTTCATTCGATTCTCTACTGTTGCAGGAAGCCGTGGCTCTGCCGATACTGCCCGAGATGTTCACGGCTTTGCCGTCAGGTTCTACACCGACGAAGGCAACTTTGGTAAGCACCATATTGACGACACACATGTGCGGTATTGACAGTATCTAGATATTGTCGGCAACAACGTTCCTGTGTTCTTTATCCAGGATGCCATCAAGTTCCCTGACCTCATCCATGCTGTCAAGCCCAAGCCAGACAGTGAGATCCCTCAGGCAGCAACGGCTCACGATTCGGCATGGGACTTCTTCAGTCAGCAACCTAGCACTATGCACACCCTCATGTGGGCAATGAGTGGACAGTAAGTGAACATGTAAAATGGTTGAGCAGGACGATTACTAACGAGTTGTTTCTTTCTTACAGTGGTACCATTCGTTCCTACAGGCATACCGATGGCTGGTAAGAACAACCTCTCTTATGTTTAGATGAACAATGTACTGACTCATTTGTCTAGGGGTGTACATACTTTCCGCTTTGTCCGTGATGACGGCAAATCCAAGCTCGTCAAGTTCCGCTTCCGATCTCTTCAGGGCAAGGCCTCCCTGCTGTGGGAAGAGGCTCAAACCACCGCCGGAATGAACGCAGATATGCACCGACAGGATCTCTTCGAGAGCATTGAGAACGGCTACTACCCAGAATGGATCGTGCGTACCCCTAGCCTATTGAAAGACGATGATTGCTAACCTTTTGGTGTCCAGTTTGAGGTTCAAGTCATGGAGGAGTCGGACCAACTTCGATTCGGATTCGACGTTCTCGACCCCACCAAGATTGTTCCCGAAGACATTGTTCCTTTCACCCCTCTTGGCAAGTTGACCTTGAACCGCAATCCTCGCAACTACTTTGCCGAGACTGAGCAAATCATGGTATGTTCCGGTGCCATATTGACGGAGGGTTCCGAATGCTTACTTATTTGTCTCTAGTTCCAACCCGGTCATCTTGTCCGCGGTATTGATGTTTCCGATGACCCGCTCCTTCAAGGACGCATGTTCTCGTACTTGGACACTCAGCTGAACCGCAACGGTGGTCCCAACTTTGAGCAGATTCCTATCAACCAGCCCCGTGTTCCTGTCCACAACAACGAGCGTGATGGTGCTGGCCAAATGTACATTCCTCTCAACACTGCCGCCTACTCGCCCAACACCCTGAACGGCGGTTACCCCAAGCAAGCCACCCAGGCCGAAGGTCGCGGGTTCTTCACTGCACCCTCTCGATCCGTCAGCGGAAACCTTGTCCGCACAGTCTCCAGCACCTTCGCCGACAACTGGTCACAGCCTCGCCTGTTCTACAACTCCTTGACCCCAGTCGAGCAGCAGTTTGTCATCAACGCCATCCGATTTGAGACTTCGCAACTCAAGAGCGAGGTTGTCAAGCAGAATGTCTTGATCCAGCTTAACCGTATCAGCCACGACATTGCTACCCGTGTTGCTACTGCTCTTGGCATGACTGCGCCCGCACCTGATGACAAGTTCTACCACAACAACAAGACGATTGGTGTCAACCCGGCTGGCGAGCCCCTGCTCAAGATTGAGGGCTTGAAGGTTGGATACCTTACCTCTGCAGCATCCACTGGCGACAAGGGCAAGGCGCTCAAGGCCGCGCTCAAGGACAAGAAGGTTAGCTTGACGGTAGTTGCCGAGCACCTTGGCGAGGGCATTGACCAGACCTACTCTGCTACTTCGGCCGTTAATTTTGACGCCATCATTGTTGATGGTAGCGCTTCGGCCCTCTTTGCCCCTGCGGGCAGCCTCGCCAACTCCAACTCCACGGCTACTAAGGCCCGTTCCACCTTGTACCCTGCTGGTCGCCCTCTCGAGATCCTCCAGACTGGCTACCAGTTTGGCAAGCCCGTTGGTGTTCTCGGAGCCAGCAACTCGACTCTGTCTGCTGCTGGTGTTGAGGCCGGCACCCCTGGTGTTTACAGCTTCGACTCCGCCAGCGACGTGGCGGCAGTTGTTACCAAGATCACTGAGGGTCTGCGCACTTTCAAGTTCCTTGACCGGTACCCATTGGACAATTAGATAGTGAGATGTTTTCGGTGGTGTGTATATAGGAGCTTTTACAAATTCTTGCGATGAGTACACAAGTTTGGTTTAATACTGGGCGGTCATGTTTGTTGAAGTTTAGATCGGTCCGTTAGTGATAAATGCAATTTGGTGTTAGCCTACGGAGGAGCGCGTCAAAAGTCTTCGCGACAGGGGTAGGCAGCGCACTGACGCACCGCAGGTCTTGGCATTTGGTGTTTCGACGTGGCCTTCCTGGAGCCCCTCATATTCATTGTTTTTCAGTGATTCTCAATCAGATTAGCTCAATATGGCTCCTAATCATGATATCGCTACTCGTGCACTTGTTGTTACTCTTAAATCCGTTGCAGGAAAGTCAAATAGTGAGGTCTGTTACCTTACAGGCCTTCCTGAGTCTACTGTTCGAAGTATATATGCCAAAGCTATCAAGAGAGGATTTGAATACAACGCCTCACAACCTATTACTATCTGCAACGCTCACCTTGAAGATGCTCCTCGCTCGGGACGCCCTACTAAAGAAACCGAGGCTGTACGTCAATCTATTACCCAGAAACTCGTACGCGATCGATATGGAAGAGAGAAGAGCTGTGCTGATCTCGCTGGCGAACTTAGTCAAGAGGGAGTCAATATCTCTGCTACAACAGTGCGCCGGATACTCAAGAAGGCAGGCTACAAGAAGACGAAGCCGACGAGGAAGCCTGGGTTGACCAAGAAGATGAGGGAGGAGAGACTAGCCTGGTGCAAGGAGCGAGAGAAGTGGACTCTTGAGGATTGGAAGAATGTTATATGGACAGATGAGACCTCTGTAGTCCTTAATCACCGCCGTGGAGGCTATCGGATCTGGAGGAAATCTGATGAAGCTTTTCTGCGCAGTACTATACGTGAGAGGTGGAAAGGCTACTCTGAGTTCATGTTCTGGGGGAGCTTCTCATATGACAAGAAAGGTCCTTGCCACTGTTGGCAACCTGAATCAAGAAAGCAGAAGGAAGAAGCTCGTAAGGCTATTGAGGCTCTTAACCAAGAGCTTGAAGCTGAGGCTAGAGCTGAGTGGGAACTGAATACTGGAGTTAGAAGGCTAGGCCTACGTACGAAGCCTGGCAAGAAGCTAACTTGGAAATTTACTGCAGATACAGGTAAGCTTACTCGTAGTAAAGGAAATGGTATTGATTGGTGGAGATATCGCGCTGAAATATTAATACCTAAGCTTCTGCCTTTTGCTCAAGAGTGTAAGAAAGAGAGGCTATATACTCTCGTTCAAGAAGATAAAGCTCCTTCTCATGCGCATCACTCACAACAGAAGGTCTTTAATATATTTGAGGTAGCTAGGCTACTCTGGTGCGGTAATTCACCTGATCTTAATGCAATAGAGTGCTGCTGGCCATATATGAAGAGGCTTACTACGAAAAAGGGAGCTCCAAGGAGTAAGGTTGAAGCTATCAGAGCCTGGACGAAAGCTTGGGACGAGCTACCTCAGTGGAAGATTCAAGAGTGGATTGAAAGAATACCAATTCATATTCAAAATATCATTAGATTAGAAGGTGGCAATGAATATAAAGAGGGTAGGAGAACAGGAAAGGGCACTGAGAGGGAGGCTACAGCTGTAAAGGCTATCAAAATTAATGTAGATAATGAGTGGGAGGATATCAGTAAATAAGCTGTCAAAACAGCAAATGCCAAGACCTGCGGTGCGTCAGTGCGCTGCCTACCCCTGTCGCGAAGACTTTTGACGCGCTCCTCCGTACTACTATTACTTGAGAAATTTGGCCAGCAGGGTCTGTGGGAATGTGCCATGATTGCTTGTTTTCTGCCAGTCAAGCGTGTAAGCGCAAAAGAGGGTATGTCGTGCGCGCGCATGTGTGCAAGGTGGGCCCGAGGGATTAATGTTGGGCCATGACAAGAGCGGTCTACCAAAGTAATGAGTGTCCATGTTCTGGACTGCTCAATGGGACCCACGACGAGTAATTTCACACCGTAACCGAGGGCATGTCACATGGTAAACGGCCGCAGAGAAGGTAGTCGGGATGTCAGGACTGTAAAAGGGAGCTCGGGTGTCTGCCACGCCTCGCCACGTTCTCCACATTCTCCACACGGCGTGCTGCCGCTCACGACGTCAACGGCGAAACGGCGAACAGGGAGTTTGCAGGACGCGGCGATGCAGTGCGTGTGCTGGGAAGTTGAGCACACACACACACACGCACACACACACATACAAACAAAAAGGACAGACAGCATCTGGGTGTCTGGCTGGGTGGTGCTCACGCGTGGCTCAGGGCACAGTGCAGGCCATGGGGTTTGGTTTCCTGGTCTACGGCTGGTCAGAGTGGGCGGGGCTTGGCAGCTAATGCAGGGAAGGGCAGGGGAGAACACGGCAGGCCGAGATTATGGCTACCTATTACTACTGTACCGGCGCAACCCCGTGTGTGTGCTGATACAACGCTGTCGAACTCCTTACTCGACGTCTTGTCTTCTTTGCAAACACTGCGAGTTACACCCCCAAATTCCCCGTACGTTTCAGCCCTGCAGGCGGCTCGCACACCACCACATTACACATTCGGCGCGGCCTAGCTCGCTGGTCGCTCAATAATTGGCCGTCTTGCCCAACTCGCCGCTTCTTTGAGCGACGTTGCCAACACCGCCTTTGTACCCTACAAAGACAAGATACACATACATATATACATACGCACAAACACGTCATGTCAACAGCAGCAGCAAGCAAGCCGCCTGCCACGAGCACGTCTCGTCGCGACGCCGCTGCCAAGACGTCGTCAGCTTCACCAGGGGCTGCAAGCCGCACGCCTGCCCGCTCCTCCACCCCGACTACCAATGGCGCCAGCGCAGTCTCGCGCACAAAATCTGTCCGTGGAGGCACCAACGGCGCCCCCGTCTCTGCACGCGCTGCTGTCAAGAAGCCTGCTACCCCCTCGAACCTGAGCAATGCGTCGCAGGCCGATGCTGACGAGGCCCGAGATGAGCAGGCCGCCCTGCTTCAAGATCTCAAGGAGCGCCTGCAAAAGGTAGAAGGCGAGGCAGAAGAGCGCCAGAAGCAGATCGAGGTCTTGACTGCTCGGCTGGACGAAGCGCTCGCAGAGCAGGCCAAGCTCGAGGAGCGCGCACACGAGGAGGAAGAAAAGGTCGAGGCGCTAGAGAACGAGAAGCGCGAGCTCACCCGCCAGCACCGCGAATTCGAAGCCATCTACGAAGCCGAGCGTGCCCAGGCGATGAAGGAAAAGGAGGAGACGCAGGCACGACAGGAAGAAATGCAGGGCACTATCCAGCGACTCAAGGAGACCATGGCGACCAAGAACATGCCCACTGGCGAGCCAGAGGGCGAGGGCGAGCAGCACCTATCACGCACATGTAAGTAGTCCCCATTTTCTGTCAACACCAAGGGGTGACCACGTGCAAATACTAACTTGGTCGCAGCGAGTTTCCGCAATGCGTCTTCACGCAACAACTCTTCGCAGAACCTCGAGAATGTCGCCTCTTTCGCGCCGCCCAACTCGGTGCAGCGCAGCAACTCGCGCAGCAACTCGAAGCTCATCAACCAGAAAGACAAGATCATCGAAGATCTGCGCCTAGAGCTCGCAGAGTACCAGGTAAAGATGCTTGAAGTAGAGAATGCTGGTGGCGGTCGTCTGCGCGAGCTCGAGAAGCAACTGCTGGAGACGCGCATGACCAACGCAAGGCTCATGGAGGATAATGAGAGTTTCCAGCTTCTGCTGGGTGAGAAGACCCTTAATGGAGACTTGAGCCGCGGCGATTTCTTGCGAGAGGCTTCCAGTGCCGACGACCGCGCTCCATCTCGCAGCGGCCCTTCGACAAGCCTGGCTGACGAGCTTCAATCGGCAGAAGAGGGTGACGCAGAAGTTGTTCGCAAGCTCGAGACAGAGCTCAACAGCATGAAGGCCCAAAACCAGGCCCTCACTCTTTACATCAACAAGATCATTGGCCGCCTGCTCACCCACCAAGGCTTCGAATCCGTCCTTGGCAACGACGCCGACAACGAACAAGGAGGCCCCGATAAGAATAAAGAGCTTCCACCTCCGCCGCCCCAGGAGAATGAGCAGCCCCAAGGCTTCCTCCAGCGCGCCAAGTCCGTGGCCATGGGTAACAAAAACAAGCCCCGGCCCCTCAGTGGCACCATGGGTCCGCCACCCCTAACCCAGCAGAGTGCACACGAAGACCCAGCCACAGCGCCCAGCATTCCCCTTACGCGCTCTGCATCAAGTCGTCACCCAAGCGGCAGCCATCGCCGATCAACGTCCGATGTTCCTGGCGCCGCCGGTATTGTTAATAACATGTACCGCCCAGGAGCATCCAACCCGGCTTCGCCCGGCGTGGTCTCGCCCCGCAACTCCTTTTTTGGCCTACCAGTCAACAGTGGGCCAGGATCCAGCAACCCCGTTTCCAGAGTTCCATCTGGTCAGGGCCCCATCCCAGAGGACAAGGAGGTGGATGCTCGCACCGAGTCTTCGTCGGCCAGTCACGTTGATACACCTAGCCCGCCGCGTCAGCTCGTGCGCAGTGAGACCAGCACTAGGGTCATGACAGGCAAGGGCATGCAACCGCTGCGCCTGGTCCAGAACGAAGAAGAGGCTATGAAGGCGCGCAAAGCTGCCAACAGGACCAGTTGGTTTGGTGGCCTTTTCGGTCAGACGCCGCCTCAGCAGCAACAGCAACAGGACACTGCCTAGTTGCGTCGTCAACTGGGCTGACTTGCTTGCTTACTGGTTGGTTTCCTTCTTCTTACTTGTTTGATGTGAACTCTTTTTTTGATCCCCCTCATGTAAGTAACTTTCATCATCATCATCACGAGCCCAATATTTTTATTTTTGGATACGACGGCACACGTACGACTTAATGCAGGAAACAACTCAAGAAGAACGAAGTAAATGGCCAAAGAAATACTTGTTTTTATTTCACAAACAAATGGGGATTGATTGATGGAAATACGTGTCACATGTATACACTTTTTTTCGTTGAACATATGGGGGGGGGGGTTTCCAGTTTTTGTGCACGTGGATGGATGCTGGAAAGGAAAGAAGAAGGAGTTGGTTTTTTTAATCCATAATTATTATTGTTTTTTTTTACCTCTGTCCACTAGCCCTCCTTCATTCTTTGTATACCCCCACAACTCCCTCAACGAACAATGTATGTAGATAAGACGACAGTCTCTCACGTCTTTCACGTTTAACTTAGTAAGTTAGTCTTTTTTTTCTACTTTTTCGGTGAATGTCGTTAGGTGTGAATGATAATTTGTTTATTTGCTTCATCATACCTCCCCCCTTTGTTATTATTCCCCCTTCTTCGTGGTTGCCCCTCTTCGTCATCGTCTTTGTCATCGTCATCTCCCCCCCCCCTATTGCTCTACGCCCCGCACATACTAGGTCCTAAACTCAAACTTCCCTTCCTCTCACTACATCTCGCGCACGTTTCTCCACTGCGTACACGTTTTCGCTGCGTCCCGTGCGGACACAGTGTCGGGTCCAGGCTGTGCGTGATCGCGTGGTGGCAGTCTGTATACCGGATATCCATCACGTGGACGCATGTTTGTGGGGGAGGCGAGGAACACGTGTGGAGGTGGATGTAGCACATTTCGGGTGTGTTTCGGGGGGTTGGGTTGGTGGGTTTCTTATTCTGTGTAAACACCCTCCTCCTCTATATTGCAGTGTGTAATTTTTTTTTTCGCGGAGATATTTAGATATATAGGGTAGTAGTGGTGGTGGTTTGTGGGGTAATTATTTGCTTGTTTAGTAAGTGATTGTTTGGTATAACTATATATGCTTTGGGGTGTTGTGTTTTTAGATAATCTCTCTTTCAGGCCTTTAATCTTTAGGTATGAGACGGGAAACAGTGTTTACTTGTCTTGTGTTTGAAATGTCTTGGGTAGCGGGGTTGAAACGATGATTTGATATTGTTTGGTTTTGTTTGGATAGCTAACACATTTGTCTGTGTGGGGTTGATGTGTTTGTGGATAGATTTGTCAGTATGGTATCTGAAGAAGATATGCTCGCTGGCAGGCATGTCTGCAAAATTGTCCTTAGAGTCGTTGTGTCTCTGGTTATACCGCAGCGTTTTTAATATCGGTGCAAAAACAAAAACATCTGATTTGCTGTCACTCATACTTTTATCAACATGTGTCATGATAAATTATTACAATTCTTATAAAACTAATCAAACATTACTAGTACAAGTAGCTCATTCCATTCTAGGATATCAGTAAACTTTCATACATCTTATCATACAGCCAAGTCTGTTAGACAAAACAAATGAGATCATATAGCGCCGTCACAAGGCACGAGTAAAACCCACGGGTGCCAGCGCCCACGAAGCTTCCAAAAAAAACCAAATACACCCATCACACCTAACCCATGCATAGTAAAAGCAGGGTAACAAGATTGATCCACAGCATAGAGTAGTGAACCAAAATCCGCCCAGCTCCTAGACCCCTCCATGATTTACGCAACAATCGTCTTTGGTGCCGCAGATCGCTCGACCCATTCTCCCAACCCATGGTCTGCAGTCGCCCAGTAGTCGCGCGTCTTCTTGTACATGGCCAAGCGCTCCGATAAACTCGGGATAGCCATGATTTCTTGAAAGGGAATTGGACGCTCCTCTACAGGCACATTTGTAAAGTCAATGGCGGTACCCGAGTCTGTGCGTTTGGATTTCGCCCATGGCTGAGGTGGGCGGATGCTTGCCTCAGATATCTTGCGCTCTCCAGGAAGTGGGAGATATTGCTCGTTCCAAGCAATCTTTCTTTGAGATGTGGTTATCGCGTTGTATGGTTCAAGATTGGTGGCAGTTGAGTAGATTGACGAGGCTGTGGTGGGACGGGCTGATGCGAGCTCTGGTTGGAATGTACGACTTTTTGATACTGAGGCGGAATTATCTGGATCGCTTTCCAATCCGATACTCTGCCCTAGTCGTGTTGTACTACGCCGTGTCCTCAGAGGAGTGGGACTACCATCAGACATTTCTACTTGGTGGTTCACCTGACTTTCTGGTAGATGCCTCTCCTCGCTTCCACGACGTGATCTTGAATGAGGAGAGAAAGACTTTTGTCTCAATCTAGAGAAACTCTCCTTCCACGACAGGCCTGGTCGTCGTGTATTAATCGGTACGGTATCTGAACGGCCGCGTGTTTCTAACTTGGCGCCGTCAGGGCCAGGCGGTGACCGTTCATTCGGTTCAGCTTCATTGTGACTGAAGTAGTTGTCAAGGCTTGAGCTCCCACTACCCATAACATTGACGCCACCGACATGTCGCGCGTCCATTGGCTGTGAGATCACAATTGTCTTAGTCTTAGCCATGACTTCGTTGTGGTACCCAATAGGGAATTTCTGTAGATTGTTAATGCACAAGTGGTTCGATTGATGTGCGTTGACTGACTGGAAGCGGATTGTTTCGCGTATATGTGGGCCTTGAGCAAGTATATGCCGAGGAGCGGAGGGTGCAACAATGTGAAAACTTGGTGATGCAAGTGCGGCGTGCTGAGCGATAACTGTGTGTTTTCGATTCACCCCGACAATCGAGGCTATTATGATCTGCAGGATGTGTGATAATGCTGTGAGGATGCGTACCGGATGTTGAACTAGGCAACAAGTAGAGAACAGTTGAATAATGCGTTCAGAAAAGAAACAGAGCAGGATGCAGGCCCATTGAAAGTCACAACTTAATCTCGCAATGATGCAACCACAATCGCTGTCTGACGTTCTGATACTCTTAACGTGGCTGATTGTCGGAGTTGGTTCGTCTCAGGCAGAATCGGGTCATCTGAGACACGCAACGTCTGTGAACCACGAGTGTAACTGCGGGTAAAATCGAACCCGTCTCAGTGCCGAAATCAGGGAGATAATAGCCGTAGAACGGAACAATGTTATGGATAGGTCCTGTAAAGGTCTCCTGGTATAGCCTTGTTATTGCTCGTGAGCTCTCTGATGCAAGTCGGAAAATAGCCTACCCATGCCAAGGCACTCTCGCGGACACTCATAGGACAGTAGAGGAGTCTAAGTGGATCACGTTAATTCATGTCATAACCCTCTCTTGAAGTCTTTCGAATAAGAGAGCAAAGTAGTGATACGTATAGTGTGTCTCCATAGACCGGTCAGGCATGAGCCGAGGCATGTCTGCGGGTGAAGATCAACATCCTGTGCAAGCCACCAGGTATCACAACACCAGTTTCTGTGGAACATCCGGGCAAAGTCCTGGATAATATCTGGCGGTCAAACATCTTCCTTTGTGCCTGGTAGAATGACGTCGAGTCTTTTGTATGCAATACGCGCGCGGCATGACCTGGGACAAATGCCAAAGAGAACAACAATTGCTTCATAGCTAGTATACAACGTCATGTAACATGAAAGAATTTTGCAGGACAATACTGTCCTCTTATTCTCTGTGGAACGCGCGCTTCCTCTAGGCGAAGCGCACGATATCGAGCTGAAGCGAACTCGCGACGTGGACAAAGAAGTCCTTCTTCTACGCGCGATCCTTCAGTATGCATTCAACACTACGTCCGGCCAGCGAGGCTGATAAAAGGTGTGGTGAAGCAAGGGGTGTCTCCAATCATTGCCCATGTCTCATCTCAACTACCCACTTATTGACAGAAACTGGCCAATCACACCTATTCAGGACTATGGCTCCGTTGCTCACGAGGTTAGCGGCTCCTCACCACCATCGTGAGGCTCCACAGCAACAGCACTTGACGTTGCTTGGACCCTCATCCAGGGGGCGCCATCATGCATTCTTGACTCTGTGGACGGGTAAGGCCGGCGGCTCTTGCTACGGAAACTTGCTTGACAGGTGCCAGACAGAGTACTCCACCGTGATATATGCTGTATATAAGGTATCATGCCTCATGCTGCCTGAAAGACATCAACAGCCCAGCTCTGAAGATTCCTTCGCTCGTCGCTTTTCAAAGTATTCGCTCTTTTTTCTTCTTTTCATCGTTCCTGGAGAATCGATAGGCCGGTCCACCTTTGCTATATACCCTCATTTAGACCCCCTTATTCACTTTGACGACTACAAAGTAGACGAACCAGTGTCCCATATTCACTATGAAGAACACTATCATTGCCCTTGCCCTTGCTAGTGCTGCGGCTGCACGCCCAACCGCTGTCATGACGAAGCGTGAGGTTCCCCAGGAGCATTCTCATCGCAACGTCAATCTCGCTGTCAACACCCTATTGCAGCAGAACAACCCCGCCAACATCCAGGACCCTGTCTTTGCTTTACTCGGAGCAGCGGCAGCAGCAGAAGGAGCTGGTGACATTGCTGATGCTGGTGAGTTATTCCATGATCAGCGCCAGTGCAGTGAAGCTAATCATTTCTAGACTGCCTTCAGCTAGCCGTAGCCGACCAGGCCTTTACCAACGCCAAAGAGGCTGGTGATGTGGAGGGTATGACTATGGCGCTTATATACCGTGCCTTGGAGCGCAACACTGGCTCTGTCGGCCTGAAGTCTGTTCCTTGCGAATCGATTCAGGCAGTCAACCCAGAAATTGCCGCACTCCAGCAGCACCAGGACCCTGCTGCTGATGGCGCGCAAGCGCTCAACAAGCAAATTGCTGAAGAACTTGCACGCCAAATTGCTTCCATTGGTGGCGACCCATCGATGGCAAATGAGGCTTCCACATTTGCCCCTGGCGAGATTGGCGACCCTACCGGAGCTGGAAACACTTGTGATGACGCCACTGATGATGCCGGATGTATCAACACCCTTGGGCTCCGTGTTGACGACCTCAGTGAGGCCGAGATCGCTGCTGCGGTCGCTGATGTTAAGGGAGCTGCAAAGGGAGCTGCAGCCGACAACAAGAATAACAACAAGGACGATAAAGCTGCGCAAGAGCAGGCTGTTGCTTGCGGAAACGAAGCTGCTGCCAGTGCGGGCCATGCTGCTGCCGCCAAAGATGGCGCTGCTGCTGCCAAAGGTGACGCTGTTAGCAGCAAGGCGAGCGCAGACTTTGGCAACTGCGACCCTACAATTGTCTTCGGCCTCCCATCCGATGGTCGCAAGGAGGATGCTTTCGAGCCTTCGGATCTGACTACCTTTAACCATGGCTCGGCCCAGAAGATTGCAATCATCTCCGACTTCATCTGCTCCCAGCTTGCCAACAAGTGCGGTGCAAGCGCCTCAGCTGTCAGTACCTGCGATGCTGCAGCATCTGCCGCTAATGGGCTTAAGGGCCAGGCGGCTGCGACTGCCTTCAACACTGCTCTTGGGTTGTAAGTGAAGTAAGGCCATTTGAGCAGATGTGATGTGTAATTTAGCAATAAAGGCGAGATGGATGAACTGGACATAGAACCCTTTTTATGATAATAGACTTAGTCACGCGTAAGATGATGCCAATACATCTTTAGCAGGGCATTATTGTTCAATGTTCTGGTACCATGTGAAGTGACTTGGCATATGCGTGACATGGCAGAGTCTTGTCCAAATCGAGGCACTGACATGCAACGAATCGATGCTTGTGATGAAATGAAGCCGTAAGCTTGTAAATGTGGTGGAGTGCATGCCGTCCCCGCACGTTGACTATTGAAGACTTTTGTGGATTTAGAACAACACACGTGGAGCTTCCATAATGGGCGGCAGTTCGGGCCTCGTGTTGTGTTGAGCCCACTTTTTGACACTCTGCAAACTTAGGATAGTAATTGCAAGAGAAATGGCAGCCAATGACGCATTGAGGGGAGACGACCTGGATCACAGCCTGTACGTATTAGGCGAGACACGTGCGCCTCTGGTTATTGGTGTGTGACAAGATGCCGCGAGCCAGACCGCTTTCGCAGCCAAGCGCGGGATGCAAGGAAAAAAACGTTTGGGAACTCCAGTCTGACTTGCAGATGGGCCAGGATAGGGGTCTCGCTTGCCAACGTCGACCTTGACGAAGGCCGCGGTCGATCAAGAATGGGCAACGAGGCCAGGCACGATAGCGATAGATGTTATGTTGAAGCGAGAAGCGCGTGCCACCGATCACCAGCCCACAGACGGAGACAAAAAGACAGAAAAGGACCAGCTTCGACGAGTCATGCAGCATTTGCAGAGTTGATGTGTGTGCCGTCCGTGATGCCCCACAGCGGAGCACGGTCTCCAGACTGACAGCGAATTGGGGTACTCCAGCTTGCGAATGCATCTGTGCGGTGCAGCGCTGGCATCTTCTGGCGGCGTGCTGTTGGCTGTGGCCCACGGCGCGGCGGCTGCAGTGGGTGCGGAAAGTCCAGATGCGAGGGGTATATCAGCACTGTGGAGTCGGTGAGGCTGGCTGCGTAATATCGATAGCAATGGCAGCAGGAGAGTGGACGAGGTGGAAAAGTCGTGACAGGCATTGGTGCTTTGCAGAAAAATACATGTTGAGTATCCGTATGTATGCAGGGGCCGTCGAAAAAGAGGGCCACTGCTGCGGTAAGCAGGCACGAGCCACCCGGTGCCATATCGGGATTAGCGTTCGCATAGAGCGCGTTGGAGCGCGTCAGTTTCGCTATGTGGTCGTCTGCAGCGCTGGCAGCACCAGCAGCAGCAGCTCGACGTGGCCGAACACAGCTGCAGAACACGGTATTGTGCGCGAGGATGCAAACTAGCCACCCCGAACACGTTCAAGACCGTTGCAACAACAAGCCGGTAGTCGTCGTGTGTTTGGTTTTTCGATGGGCGCGTCCCGAGGGCTGCTATCGACGATCTTGGCCATAGCCCGTGCTCCTGTCCTGGCACTAGCGGCCAACAGCCGTCCACGGGTCACCCGACTTGAATTTGCGACCCCCAACCATCACCTTCACACTTCACGACCTCACGATAATTCCGAGCCGATCTCGCCAGCCGCACGCTCGTCGGCCCCGAGACCAGGCGCCTGCTTGACGACTGTTTCCTTGCATCTTCTTCTACTCCCGTCTTTCGTTTTGCACGCCCCCATGGACGCCCAGTAAAGCGCCCACTTCGCTTCCGCCCACAGAACCGCTCTTCTCACCGCGACTCACGACTCTTGCCCTCATCGCCAGCATCCTCCACCTCCACCGCCACCCCTCGCCACACTCGACGCGTCTTCCACCTCCTGTTGAGACTTTTGCGCTTTGTCTTTTGCTTTTGTTCCTCGCGCTATCGACATCGCGCCCCAGCACCCCTCGCAACAGCCAGCTACGCGCCTTTGCACACGGAGCTTGTCGCCCATCTTCTTATCCGCAAGCCCTTCCGCCATTGCAACAACGCCAGTGATCCGCGCGTCCGAAATCGCGTGTCGTTGCGATAGTTGCACCCTCTCGTATTAAAGTCGCAGCTATCCTGCTCGCACGTGTAACCACCCTGCAGCCGCACAGTCGCGTTTGCAGTGTTCCAAACACCTGTTCGAGCCCAGCCAAACAACCAGCGAACCCTTCTCAGCGCTGTACGAACCGTCTTGCCATTGTATGCATTGACCGCTCGTCGCGCGTGCACTGTCCAGACCTGACGGCGTCGCTGAGACTGACCACTTGGACCCTCCCCTCCAGGTTGAACCCGACAGCGTTTCGAAACAGTGGCTCGTCTCCTATTTCTGTGATACATCAGCAGCCATGGAGTCTGAACGTTCCGTTTCCACCACCTTACCAAGGAACTTCATGTTCCACTACCGTGACGGCCCTGCTCCACAAACACCAGAGCCAGAGCCGCAACCAGAGCAACTGCAGCCACCGCCGCCGCCCCGCCAAGTCCTCAAGGTCCGCCGCCGCCGTGCCACCATGGTCATGAACCCCGACGACATGGACGCAGTCATGCATCAACAACCCATTCCCACTATTGAAGCGCCGGAAATCATGTCGGAAACCCCGAGTGAGCTGCCATCCTACTCTCTGTCTCAGGACGACGCCTTTCTGTCTCCAGGCTTCAGCTATACTCGTATGATCTCTCCGCCAAAGACTCCTGCTCACCAAGTGAGAACCATCAGCCACTACGAAGGACCCCAAGACTGGTCGGACGTTCCACACGTCAGCCAGAGTGAGACCTCTAGTAGACCCACCTCATCATCCGGCTTCTCTGATTCGTCTCTTTCGTCTTGTGACAGCATTGGATCCTTCATGTCAAGAAGCGGCAGCTGCACAAGCCTAGAAGATGAATCGTCTGATCCATTCTCCTTCTGCCCGCCACTACCGCAAATTCAACGGCCGGTCTCGCCATTGATGAACCAACAGCCAACACGCTCTGCCAAGAAGCTGAAGCTAAGGGCCAACTTCACAGAGGAAATGGACTACCACCTGTGGATGACTTACATGAATTACCTGCAGGACCCCACAGTGACGCCCTTCAAAGCTCTTCCGAGCACTACACCACCGAATGGTGTATGTCACCGCGTGGCGAGGATGGCTCGAAAGACTTGGAAGGGCCCAAGGCAGGCCCGCGTTGGCGGACTCCGTGTACAGACTCAACTTGGCCAGTACGCTGGTACTCCAAATGCCATGAAGACGACCAAGAGTGGCAAGTCCTTCGTGCGGTACCCTACTGAGAAGCAATGCCGAAAGCGTCTGCGAGATTTGGCCAAACAGAAACCTACCTTGTCTGCACACTACCAGCGTCTCCTCCATCGATCACCCTCACCGCTTCAATCCTCTCCGCCTCCAGAGGAACCGCCGTCGCAACCGTCGCAATCATCGTCGTCTTCGGTGCCGCAACAACCTTTGTCTTCGCCTTTCTCTCAGGGATCGACGACCTTCTCGACCCGTGACATGAACCTCTCGCTAGCAACCAGTACTGCTGCATCGATGCAGTTGGGCAACCCACTGTCACAACTCACCAAGGATATTACGCCACGACCGACAGCGAGGACATGGTCAAGTGCCCGATCTTCTGCTCATCAGAAGTCGCAGTCGCTCCATATCGGGCTCGGCCTTGGGCTAGGCACTGCACTAGGCTCTCCCTTCCACGCAAAGCTCGAGGCCAACAAGCTCAGCATGAGCCAGAATAGCGCACGTACTTGGCACGCATCATCGACGTCTCAGCCACCACGTCTAGGCTCTCCTTTCCAGCTACACGCACCACGACCAAAGTCCAAGGTGTTCAAGCGCCGTGCCCTTCACAGCAGCTTCGAAGGGAGGGTGCGTAACCGAGGAGAAAGCTTCGTCAACGAGATCTTTGGAGCTCCAGCAGAATCGAGCCACCGCGGTGTCAGGAACCGTGGCTTCAGCCTGGGCGACATGACTGAAGGAGCACGACGCCTTCCTCTAGCCAACGACCCTTCGGGCTTCAACCCATTTGCAGACTCTCGTTCTGCGCTGCCGAGTCCACACTCACCCGCGGTGGCAAATGATGTGCTCGGTCAATCTACTGCTCGCCTAGGTTCACCATTTGTCAGCCGGTCAAACAACATGTTCCCTCGACCGACCATGTCGCACAGCTTCGAGGCTCCCGCATCGTTTGAGCAACGGTTTGCCGGTATGCCTAGTGATGCTACCCGCTTACAGCGGCCGTAGGGTTCGACGACGATTTCTTCCAGTTTGTTAGTGTGGTCAAGCACAACGACTGCATCATTGGCGTTACGACGGTCAGCCTCTTGTGCTGTGGCAGAATATACTTGCCAATCTGCTCAGGATGGCGAGCCTGCTTATTTTGAAAAGCATTTCCTATGTTTTATTTATACCAAACCGTACACTCTCGGTCGCCGACATTGTACTGATGGCGATGACGCCCCTGGTTGTGTTTACCGGGCTTACGACTTTGACATGATGATGCGGCTGAAAGTGTTTCCAATTTACTTCCGTAATACGAGGGCAGGGTGCTGGGAAGTTATGGTGGCATGTAACATGGAGTTCCATGATGACCAGAAAGACCCTGACCCGATTTGGGCAATGAGACAGGCCAACAGCCTGACTCTGTCCTAAACCATCTCTTTTGTATACTTGGTCATCTTGTCTTGACTCAAGCCTCCACTCATTTTTGGCCCACTAGACGCTGTGGTGCTTTATTTCCTTGTGTTTGTGTTTTTTTTTGTTCTCCACCTTATCACGACGGTCATGATGAAGGTTATGATGAAGCGACGGGATATGGGCGTGAAGGGGTATTCAGTCTTCACGAATCTCAACGATTGTCTCGAAGCGTGAAGGACTCATACCTAATGTCTCTTTCTTTGAGCAAACTCTGCTTCGATGCGGAGGAAGGGATCGGCTGGACGGGTGATGCGGGCGAGGGTGAGGATGAGGAAGGGTACGAGGAAAAGCCTGTGCACTCTGATAGATTAGCTGGTCCCGAATGACGACGAGTCTGAGGCAGACGAGCTTGTAATAATGATTGAATGAATGAATGGAATGGATTTGACTCGATTAAGCTTGCCTGGAGTGGAAAAGAGTGAGAAGAGGTGATGGTGCGTTCCACATGAGCCCCTCTTGGTGCAGTGAGCTCCGCAAGGCCGTGCCGTAAAGTAGTTCCGTAACGTGGGTGCTGAGCACAGGCGTCATCATCGTGTGTGTGCCGAAAACAGCCCCCATGATCCGTGAATGACCAGGCACACACACACACACACACACACATATATACGCACACACATGGACGAGTACAGGCACACGCACGCGCACACAGACTTGGAACCTAATGAGCCAAGCGCCGGGGAAGCATGTGCTGAGACTCGCTAGGAGGAGTGGCCTTGCCAATACAGGTTTGATGTTTACAGCGCAAGGGCAACAATGGCTCTTGAAAACAAACAAGGACGAGAAAAACTCGTGCGTGTCTACACACCCTCTTATCTGCAGCTGGCCCTGCAGTCAGCCGGACGGACATGCTATACGTACATAAGGATATACGATTTGCAGCCAGGGGCGGACGTCATTCGGGAAGAAATTTGGCAGGCGGGGAGGCAAGCGGGAGGAGAAAAGAAAAAAGAGATAAAAGCATGCAGCAAAGAGTGGATGCACCAGGCCACAATGAGCAAACCGCAAAAGCTGAAGCTCTGGCGAGCAACCGCACGGATCAGTCCGTCTAGGCATTCCGCCGAGGCCTAACGTTGTTTGCTTGGGGTGGTGGCCGTAGCTGACCGGCGGCCGCCAGTTAGAGCGCTGGAGAGGAGAGAGACAGAGACAGAGAGGAGAAAAGAAGACCAGCCTTTTTGGGTGCAATATATCTTTTAGCACAGGGCAAAAAAGATATCCATTGTCAATATCAATAGAAATGGAATAAGTAGTGAGCGGAGAATGGATTCATTGCATGGCTGGCCATAGCCAAGGGTAGCTGTAACCACCAGCCGCCCCTCGTCTTAGCCGTGCCGTGTGCGTGTATGGTGTGTGTGGAGAGGGTATGGTGTGAGTAATAAGAGTCAGGCTGTGTGGTTCTTTGTCTCGTCTGGTGGTGCGTCAAAATTCACGTCAAGACGCGTCGGGACGCGTCGCGATGTGCAATTCTCAGGCCCAAAGCGGAATGGTGCTGGGTTGGTGGCAACGAGGGGAAGCCGCCTAGTGTGCTCTGCAGCAACCTGGTTACTCTTTGTCTCTTTGCATCGCACTAGTTGGGGGCCACCACAACATCAAGACGGGATTTCCGGCTGCGGGCATGACTGAGGGCTGCTGAGGGCCTCGTATCGGCTCATGGCTGCAGCTCTTGGTGACACCATATCACTCTTCGTTTCCATGGCGATCTGCCGACTCGCGTCCTTCACCTTGCAATGGTGCGGCTGGGCTTATGCCATCAACCACCGTCGGACTAATTGGCCCTTTCCTTCTGTCGATTGATGAGCAAGCCACCCTCCCCTCTCCACCACTTCCCACTGGTTTCACGCCCCCGGCTTATTATGTCCATCTGTGGCCTCGCGACACCATCTCGCATGCTTCTGACGCCACTTGAACGCTGGATCCATGGAAAGTTTCAACTTGAGGCATGTTGGGCCCCACCCCCTCTTCCCAGTGCCGGTGCCTGGAGAGTCGAATGCGGAAGGTTGGACGGAAGCCTATCTGTCGGTCTGTGCCAATATAACTATGGCAACTGTGGCACACCCTAGACCCCTCCGTCCAGAGTTGGGAGTATTGAAGGCTTGACTAGACTTACAACATGCTTTGTATCTTGCTTCCCGGTCAAGGATGGCTGTGCTTGCATATTGTTTCATTCGTCACCACGGCCTACATACTTTCTTGTCCAAGGGTGCTCCTTACACTATTGCATCTGCTTTCTTAATAGTCGATCATCCAACCTCGTCAAGCTCCCCCAACCCCCTCGGGTTGCAATTCGATATATTCCATTGTTTGCTTTTCGCCTTATCACTTGCCCCCTGGCTTTTCTAGCTTCGGTCAATAGAGGATCACTTCAAACCGCGGAGTCCAGAAAGCTGTACCCCTCGGCTCTCAACTGAGAGAAAACGGTACGCGATTTGCGTTTGCAGCAGCGATGATCAACGCACTCTGATATCGGGTCTTCATGGACGATCGTTAATAATCCTCCCCTGAATCCAACACGGCGGAATCATAATTCTACCATCCTTGTTACCGTTCAGCAAAGCAACAAATATAATCTCTGACTGCCCATCGTGGAACTTCGCAATTCTTTTGAGAAAATCCCCTTCAAGTCGATCCGAGTATGCCGCTACACCGAACCAATGCAAGGCTTGTCCACAAGAGTCCCGTTGGAATGGCACCTGGCCAATCCAACTCGCTTAAAAGGATTCGTCATCAAACACGCACGAGGACATCAGAAGTCGTATGAAGTGGTTGAACAATAATCTGACGACCACGGAATCAAAGAAACCATCTCCATCCGCTGCCGCACGTTGACCAGCATCGGCTATGCAGCTGCACCTCATAGTATCCACAATGAATGCGAATGCAAGCTAAGTCGTTTTTTCATTACTCTATATAATTAATTCAATACAGTACCACAGAAGTACCACTCCTCAAAAACAAAATCAACCTATGTTGTATACCAAAAAATCCTCTAACATCTAGCTACATACACAGTGAATTATGGGGTATGACAACCAATCGTACAACATATGATACCCCGTACGCTCGTTCTTCAGTCTTTACTGGATCAAACCCGGTCGTCCCGTTTGAGCCTATGGAGGGGGGGGGGTTCAAGATCACCGCTTCCCGCCTTTATGAGGAAATATTACTACCGTTCCTCAATTGCATCTTGCTCATATCACCGTTCTGCGGCATCTGAGCCAGCCACGTGGGCGGTGCCATACCAGTCTGATCATGGATGGTGCTAAGCAGAGGAGGCAGACTCTGGAAGAGATTGCGGATTGGAGCTGCAGGATCAGCCATGCCCTCGCCCCCTTGGTTTCCAGTGTTCCAGACACTGATCTTAGGCTGCAGACCCCTGATGGCTTGGCCGTTGGCCAGAGCCAGCTTCTCGTAGGTGCCGTTGGTGATCATGAGGTACTGCATTAGGCCTTGAGGTCCACCCAGGACATTGGCCATGTCGCCGTAGGCCTTTGCCATTGCGGATAGACCTTCGGCTTGGCGTTGCTGCGTGATTAGCTCAGCTTGGGCCTTGCGCTCCTGGGTATAGTACTCAGCCTCGGCGGCCCGTTTAGAGACGATGAAGTTGGCTTCTGCCTCGCGCTCCTTGGCTTGGAAGTTCGACTCTGCATCACGCAGGCGGCGGAAGGCGACCGCCTCGGCCTCGGCTTGCTCGCTGTACTTTTTGCCCTCCGCGGCCTTTTCCTGAGCGTAGAGTTCTCCATCAGCCTTTTGTTGCGAAGATTCCTTCTCAATCTTCGCCTGCACGACCTTAGTAGCTCGGAGACGCTCAAGCTCCATGAGTGCCCTCTTCTTCTCAACTTCCATCTGAAGCTCCGCATCGCGGCGTTCAGCTTCGCGCTTAGCGTTGATCCTGGCTACGTTGAGGTCCCTGCTAATCTCAATCTCCTTGTCGGTAAACTTTGCATCTGCTGTGGCCTTTTCGGCCTTGCGCTCGGTTTCGAGGACAGCGGTTTGGGCGTGGATCTTTGCCACTTCTTGCTTGGTCTTGCCCTGCTTTTCAGCCTCGCCAACCTCACCCTGCATGCGGGCGTGGGCAACGTCGACCTTAGCTTGGTTCAGAGCACCCTCGTGTGCCTTGCGTGAGAGAAAAGCAAAGTACTCTGACCCTGGCGTGTCTTGCAGTTCCTTGACGTTGGCATTGTAGATGCAGAGACCGAATTGGTCGAGCTCCGATTGTACCTTGAAACACTGGTGAGTATGTGGTTGATTTGAATAGCGAAAAGGTGAGTATTACCTGTTGAATGACCTTTTCCTTGAAGATTCTGCGCTCGCGGAACAGCTCCTCCATGGTCATTGTGGAAACTATTGATCTTGTCTCGCCCTCAATGATTCCCTTGACGATATCCTGGACATGGCTGCGCCCCTCAGCTACTGCAACCACTCCCTTTGACGCATTTTGTGTCGGTCTGCCGTCGCTCTCGCCTGTAAGCAAAACAGCATACTTTTCCAAAGCTTCTGGGTTATCCGCAGGACCGATTGTAAAGACTGCTGGGAGGGAGAACTTAAGCTTCTCAATCGTCATTGCTTGTAGCGACATTGAGAAGTCAAACGGTGTGATTGAGATTTTGGAGACTTTTTGCAGAGGGTAGACGAAGGCCTTTTTCTTGATGAGAACCTTTTGAATCCCTACTCCCGTAATTACGAGGTAGGAATTCGGCTCTGCGACGTGGTACCACATGATGGCTGATGTTTTGTCTAGACGGGGTTAAGATTATTCAAGGCGATGTATGCCGGCGATTGATCCTCGATCGATGGAGTCGGTGGTGTATTAATCGGGTAGAATTGAGGTGTAGAATGACAGGATTCTTATATGCCAGACTTGGAAAAAGATATAAGACAAAAGGGTGCCGAATGGGTATATATTTATACCACTCAAACGTATTCGACTGTTCCACACAGAACAAAAGATATCGTACCGTATTGCCAAATCTTGAAGTGGTGGTGATGATGATGATGATGAATTCGCTATTAGTGAACCATCCTACAACAGCAGAACTATATACCTTTATACACCTTCAGCCTGGTCATGATACGCTCCCAAAAGTACTACTACCGCAAAACACGGCACGTCCAAGTGCACAGCTCGGTGAACACGTTGGACAATAGTGGTGAGAGAAGTGCACAGACCAGATCTGAGCCCAGGAACCGGGGTACTAGTCGCATCTACCACGATTCTGCCTTATGCACAGCCACAACATGTGACCTACTTCGGAGGCCTAACTGGGTGTACGGACCCTTTTGTCAAAAGGGTTGTTCTTGCCTCCCGGTGACCTAAAGCGTTCAAGTTTGCACTGCAGATCTCACGATTTTTCGGGCGTTTGCTCGGTCGTTTGGCGCATTGGAATGCGAGAGGCATATCGCTGTGTCTGTCTCAGACATTGACACAGCTGTTTTACTGGCAAAAAGTATTGACACAAGCATGTTTGCCTGAATCTCTCCTTCTTCTCGGTCAGACATGGAGTTTGGTTGGCCAAGATGGGTCGGGCCGGGTGGCCTCGGGTATTCATACTTGAAAAATATCTGATTCGCTTACCCGTGTGTGTTCAAGGCATCCTGTGACCACCACCAGGTATAGTATGACGAGACAACGACTGTGGCGATGCTTGGCGCTAGTTGGAAGACCTCAGTTGTGAGGCGGAGACAGGGCAGACTATCGTGTCTGCTTTGGGTCGGTGGCTTGCCGTTATCCGTAGAAGACTAGTAACTGTTCTTCCGGGGTTTGCCATCGGACTACCGTACAACAAGAGCAGCCTTGGTAACTTTTTGCCTGTGAGCACAAGGCTGTTGGTACACAGTTACCAATTATACGACGTTCTTCGCCAGGCCACCAACCTCGACACCTCACACTCTGGAGCCTTCTGTCACTCCTGGAAAGATGTCAGAGAAACACAACGATGCAGCACCACCACCACCATACTCACCACCCGCCTCCTCCTCATCTCCATCAATCCTCGATCAACTAAATATCACACGCACCCAACACATCGAGTCCGTAATCGACACCCACATCCTCCCCCTCATCCACCAACGCATCACCTACGCCATGGCAACCACGACCCTCGCCCTCCTCCCCTCAGACACATCCCTCGCGCCCACAAAATCAGACAGCTCCTCCGGTTTCTCCAAGGACTCCTCCTCCTCTTCCTCTTCTCCATCGGTTCAAGTCCTCGGCTTCGCCTCCGACACCTCTCCCCCCCACCTCATCCACCTATCTGGCCCCATTAACAGCACAGAATTCTGGAAACTACCAACCGTCCTACACGAACTCGAAACAATCCTAACTTCGCGGTTAAATCCGCCTAGCTACCGAGATACTACGCTTTCTCCTAATGCTACTAGTGCTACAAGCGTACCAACCTCATCGCTACGCTTCTCCCGCCGCAATCTCCTAGCGAGAGTAATGCCGTCGTTAGGCCCGGAGCAGGCGTCACCGGGGAATAACCCAGAGGTTGGCGTGAGACAAGTTCACAAAGCTGCTTCTGAAACGAGCATGGTTATGGTGAAAGCGAGGCTAGAGGAGATTTGTCTGAGGACAGTGAGCGACTTCGGGTTATACGATACGATATCGAAACAATGTGTTATTATCAAAGTAGATGCGCAATCTTGACTTTTTCCATGTCGGAACGGCAGTCAAATTAGCCCCTCCCAAAAAAAAATAACTCTGTAGATGCGATGTGCTGCGTATTAGCTTTAATAGTTGAAATCAAGTTTGGGTACGGGGAACAGGAAAAAAAAGTGAATTCCAATGTTACAGATAGAGAGGGGTGTAGGCAAAAAAGAACGGTATGTAGTGATGAGGGCAAAAAAAGCGAAACTCCCCCGGAAAGGCTCGAACTTTCAACCTCCTGATAAGCTACTGGTGTAACAGTCAGACGCGCTAGCCAATTGCGCCACGGAGGATGTTTGCGAAAGCGCTGAATGCGCTTCGGTTTTGAGTTTCGATGGAGGAATTAGTTGTGATAAAATTTATATTGCCATATCTCATAATTTTCATTCAATGTTCGAAGCAAAAAGCAATGTAGCTCTCATCGGTCGGCTAATGTGTGGAACGACCCAGGATCTATACGCTTGTTTAGCGAGTAACATTGAGCATGCCCGGCTTTTCCCTGAACCTCAACTATCGCCTATACTGCTCGACTACTGTATTGTCGCTATGCTTGTCCCGCATCATCCCTCAAAACCACAATACCATATGGATCCCTATCTGCCTCGCTGACCTCAACAATCAGATTTTCATCTGCCAGCGCCTCCAAAAACTCTCCATTATCCTTGTACTCTTCCCTAACCTTTTTCCACTCCTCGTCCACAGCGTCTTCTAGCTGTGTACTCATAACTTCGGCGAGGAACCCGCGCTCAGAGTTGCTATGGAACAAGCTGATGACTACTCGGCCTTGCTCGATTGCCGCGAGCGCTGCGTGATGGTCTAGTTCGCCTGTAAAGAGCAAATCGACGTCTAGGCCGCTGAGGAGGCCGGAGCCAGAGCCTGCGCAGATGCCTACGCTTTTGATTTGCATGTCGGAGATTGCTTTGCCTTGGGGGATTGCGATTGGGAAGCCCTTGGGGTTGTTGAGCCCTTTGCCTATGCGATCGAGGAGGGTGGGAAGGGGCTGGGCATGGTCGAATCGCACAATGCGGCCCATGCCGGCGTTGGGATGTGAAGCGAGCTCCGGCGTCTGAGGTTTGATGACTTCTCGTTTGTGTGGAGCAGTAACCGGGGCTGTTGAAGTGAGCAACTTGCCAAGCTGAAGGGTGCGCTGGCTCGGGTGGTGGTTCAGGGTAAAAGTTGGCCGTTTCTTCTCAATGAAGGGATCGTCGTTGTTTTCTTCTGTAGGATTTAAGGGCTCTGGTTGAGCACCCGCGCCTGGAGACTGACCCAAATTCTTTGTGCCTGTAACAATGTCTGCTAGCCAATCTCCTAGTCCTCCTGGTGCTGCATCCAACGCTGTATGTGGACAGTATACACTAATGCCATGACTGGCTAACCGCAGTAGTGATTGCTGCTGTGTATCCGCAAGAGTCAATGACTTCAGGCCTCTGAATATGATCGGGTGGTATGCGATGATGATCGAAGAGTTGAGTGCAATGGCCTCGTCGGCAACGGCTTTGGTGAGGTCAATGGTGAGGAGGACGGTGTTTGACTGGCGGCGAGACGCATTGAACGGTGCTTCAAGTAGCAATCCGGTATTGTCCCAAGAGTTGTCTGCAAGCTCCCGCGGATACCTTTATTCACAATCAGTACTTTGCCAGAGCAGGTTTGCATATGCTTGATTCTCTGGCTGCGAGATACAAAGGAACAATATTCGGCCTGTGGGAGAGTTGACCTACAACTTCCGCATTGCTCTTACAACCGCTTGGGAGAACGGCGCACAAGTAGTAGTCGCACTCATTGCGAATCGCTGTGCCGTGGACATAAACATACGGTCCTCAATGGAACAATTGCAAACCCAAAGCAGTAACACTTTGCAATCATAAAGGCACGCGCCAATCATCCCTGCACCCGTAGCCGACATGCGTCATCAGCCCCTCCCCGCTTCCGGTCTGCGCCTTTTCTAGATTCGGAGGCCCAATCTTATCAGATCCGAAGATAGGAACACTGGAGGAATATCACATCATTACCACATGGATCCACGACACAAACTTTACAAAACACTCGACACTCTTGCGATCGATTCAGAAAATACCAAAGCGATGAGTGCAAGAACGGATGCTGAGGCCACGAACGTGCAGGCTACCTCCGGCGTTTCCATGGAAGGAATCAAGAAGAAACTGGAAGACGGACTCGGTGCAACACATGTTGAGATTGAAGATTTGAGTGGTATGCATAAATTCCTTTTTTACTCAGAAAAGAAGGCGGAGAGAGAAAAAGTAAAACGGGACGGGCAAGGTCTGGCGTCGGGATATTTTTCTTTTCAGTCGCTCTCTGAGTCACAGGACTACGCTGATATTACAAACAGGCGGATGCGGGCAAATGTACGAGGCTATCATCGTATCACCACAATTTGCCAAGAAGACCACTCTAGCACGACACCGGCTAGTCAACAGTACGCTGAAGGAGGAAATTGCAGCGATACATGCGTGGACACCAAAGTGTCATACGCCGGAGGAATGGGAAAAGAAGAAACCACAGTAAATACGATGCAGCCTAGTCATAGTGAATGCACCCAAAGAATGGTTCACCGCCATGAGCAAAGCGCATTTCATGATACATAACCCCAATGGGAGTCATCATTGAGGGATTTAGACCACAGGACTGGGCTCCAAAGAGACCACATCTATTCTATGTTTAGCTCCCTAGCTTAGTAGCACCCGTATTTCACCACTAGTACGAGGGAATAAATTCCTCAATCTGAGTTCATGCTCCTCATCTTTATCTTCGTCCTCATCCATCAACTCATCCGCAGCTATTATCTTGTCCTCGACTAATTCAAAATCCTCACAGAACTTACCAGCAGCCTCTTCGGTGATATCTTGTATCATCTTTCTATTGCGTAGCTGCTTGATGTTCTCTGCTGCGTCGATAAGGGCAGATGGTAGGAACTCATCCAGCTGTTGACTGGCAGAGACCAGTGCATCTGGTTTGAATGCTTCCAACTGGGGTACTGTCTTGAGGCTTTCAGCAGAGTCGCTGATTGGTGCAAGCGCTTCAAGCAGAGTAACTAGACCAGACTCATTGACCAAGTATTGATGTTGGTAGTCTGTTAGTTTGGCTACAGTCTCATGGATTGTGTCTTCTATGTCGCTGACTCGCTCCTTAGTGAAGGCGTATTGCGAGAGAACTTCTTTAGCCGCAAACAAGCAGTTGGCGGCGAAGATGGAGTTATCAGGCTCTTTCATGCCTTTCTGTAGGTTCTCGCAACTGCTCAAGAAAGGATCGAGAGCTTCTGATAGTACAGCCTGGAAGCCCTGGCCATCATCATCCGTTGCAGCGAGTGATGTATCGTAACTTTTTGCAAGTACTTTGAGTATCTGCAATGCCTCTTCCAGGAATTCAGGAGGAGAGAGATCTGCTGGCGCCACAGCAAGATCACTTTGTACGTTAGCGACGTAGTCTCTCATGTTTGCGCGGAACTGCCGCATCGCAGAAGCTTCTAATGTGTCAAAGACATCCAGAACTTCCGAATCGGCCCCAAGCAGCTTTGCAAACGTTCCCTTGTAGAAGCCAATCAGATTGGCAATTTTGTATGCCAAGGTCGCATCGTCATGACTTTGGATGACTTGTTCTGTTCGCTGTCTCAACAAACGAGCTACACCTGCAAGATCGCGGCTGACGAGTTGATTAAGAGCCTTTCGCCCGTCAAACACCTCGGCATCTTGGTCACCTCTTAGCCAGGGCTCACTTTCCAAGCCAGCCTGGATGGAACGCTTGATTTCCTCACCATCTGAAATGAAAAGGTTTTCGAGTGCTTCTCTTTCTGATACTGTCGTAGAGTGGGCCCAGGCAAGCATATCTCCCACATAGCGCAGCGGATCGTGAGCGTAAAACTCGATGGGCTTGGTGGCTATGTGGTTTTCTGATGTCGAACCGGTCAATGCTGCATGGAAGGCGTCTGACAGAATCGACTCGCGAGCTTCAGCAAACGAGTCAAGACAGCTTTGGAACAGGGCAGGTCGTTCAGCCAGTACACGCAGAGATCGCCGGACCGATGCGCTGATCTGTGGGTTTTCCAGATCTAGCGTTTTAAATTCGCGTTGGATCCACCGATAAAGCTTTTGGAATGCAGAGTTGAGTTGTTTGGAGCTTCTTTCTAGCACCTCTAGGCCCAGTCGCTGATCTTCAGTCCCGAGAAGTATCTGGCAGTCATGATGTATCTTTTTTACACGAGTCAAGATTTGGAAGAATTCCTCGTTGACGGGCTCCGCGGTAGAAGTCAATACAGTTACATCCTCCTCCGTGATGAGGAAATGAGCAGTGAATGCGTTGAGCACTTGCTGTTTGGATTCGACCTGTTTCTTCTGGCTTATGAGACTGGCGGCCTCTTCCAAGACAGGGTCAGTCTCTTTGTTTGCAGCCGCAATATGGCCACGCATATCAGCACAGTAGTTGTTCAGACTGCTGATGGCTGTTCCGATGCGCTTCAATTGCTGGAATCGTTTTAGCAGACTACTTTTGGTGCTTGTGTTCTGACATACATCGGCAACCTGGCCAAAGTCCTTGATGATCTCGCCATTGCACTGTATGACTTCTTTTTGCACATCAAGGCGAAGTTGACGACGCGTCTCCGCAGAGTTTTGTACTCCACGTGCATCTAGAGTTTCTAAGGCATCCCGAATCTCAAGATCTGCATAGGAAGCGGAGAGCACACTCGTGATGCGGCTGGCTAGCGCATTCGCACCCTTTGAAGCGGGTGTCCCCGACGGCGACGAGGGAGAAGCGCCATTCTGGGACGCTGGAGCACCGCGGTCGTGGAAATAGCTTGTCGTCATGAATGAATGGGTGTTGTGACCTTTGCCTAGAAAGGTGTCATGTTGGGCAAACCCAGGGCAGGTGCAGCCGAGCTTATCGATAGATAGATCGATAGGTACCAGCGCGGCGCGTCACCTGCATGAGTCCCATGTCGATGAGGCGCTCGACGATAGCCGCACTCATCGCCGCCCACTTGTATCCTGCTGATACAACCACT